TACTTAGAGTTTTGGGATGCAACTACTTGGAGATAAAAGCTAAGAGGTCAAGGGAAGTTGTTTCAAAATTTGAGAGTTATTGGGCCAGCCAACTGTTCAGAACGAGTTGTTAAAGTCAGGGAATGTTCCATACGCTCAGACTATAATGAGTGGAAAGTTATAAGGGGTAAGTTATAAGGGGTTCACTTTATAGCCATTAGATCAATCCAAGGGCTAGGGAGAATTGAGATAAAATTGTGCAATCGGGTAGGTGAGGAACCCAAACCCGAATTTAATATCCAGCATTGAAGTTGGTCCCAAAAAAAACCCATCGCTCTAAACCCATAGCTCTGAGAAACCGCTAAGCTCTGAGAAACGGTTGAAGGCAATGGTTCACGATGGTTGAAGGCAACGGTTAACGACGGTTGACGCAACTCCATTCTCTAAACTGTGAAAAAAGTATTTATTTTGAGTGGAAGGGCCAAAGGCTTTGTGAGAGTCCGTTTTCTTAAATGTTATTATTCTTAAGTAATTATCTTGGTAAGAAGGAAAAGTATATGTTTATAATACCATTTCAATAGTTATATGAATATTATTTCATTAAATCTATATATATGTATGTTTATATACATATGTTCTTTCGAATAAAAAAAAGGTTTGTTTTATATATTTGTTCATTATTCCTTGAATACTATTAGATGGTTATTGGGTGCATTATATACATATATATTAATAACATGGATTAAGAGTTTAGACGTGGCATTCTTACATTGTTTTCTTGGAGAGAAAGATTGTTCTCCCTTATCTTAATTTGGAGATACATTTAAATTAGTATGCTGGAGGTGGCTTTTTCCATTAAATTAGTTGATGCATTACCATGCATTTGGACAGCTCATGCTTACAATTTGGTGACTAGGCTTTATCTTAGCTTGATGAGGAGTTTATAAGTTCAACAGGTGGCATGGCCTTTGGAAATATATCTCCTAGCGTTGACACATATCAGCTTATATAAAAGAGTGGCAACCAAGTTATCTTTTTATAGATAAGACAATGGCCTTTGTTATTATCCTCTCCATTGTTACTGCCATCTCACCACCTATAAATAGGAGTGTTAATAAGGAAGAGATATCATGCAAAGTGAGAGAGAGAGAGAGAGAGATGAAATTCTTGGAAGAGATACAGGGCTTAGCTTGTGTATTTTCTTAAACTTGGAGCTAGCTTTGGAAACGAGGTAGGGATTTCTTGAGGGTCTTTACAGAAGATTGATTTAATTAAATTTCGTGAGCTCTATATTATGTGTGCTATTATAATGGGTGTTCTTGATATTGTATAATATTCTTGATATACTATATTTACGTATTGTGAACTATTTGAATGATGTTGGCATAATTCTATCATGCCATGGTAATTGGTTGGAGTTGTTAGGTGGAGAAGATAATAATGGAAAAGAGGGTAATGGAT